ATAGCGAACAGCTCTGAGGGTTCCAATGTCGAACTAGGAGTGTTGCTGATCATCAGGTCTCTAAGCCTAGTCTTCCCCCTCGCCGGCGTAAATGACAGATTTCCTTGGCCGTAGAGGCGAGCCATCACAAAGGCCGCGTTGTTTGTTTACTTTCATTAGGTACCTTATGCTCCTACTTCGCGCCGGTAGCTCTATCCGGGATATGGATGGTAAGGTATCACATGTGTAAGCGCGAGCCACGTGATCGAATTCGATTATACTCCTCGACAAAGTCAAAAGTCACCACGTAGCAAGTGGGTATACGTTTCTCCTTCCCAAGCTCTTGCTCCACGGTGACGTACCTGCCTCACCCAGATCAGACCTTCCTTCCCCAAGTTCCACCACCTGAATATACAACCCGAATACGCGGAGAATCGAAACCCTCATATACCCCTCCAAGTCAATTCCTGTCACCAGCGCAGCAGGCGCTCTCTAGGTCGGGGGTCAGGTCAAACTGTGGCGTGGGTGATGGAGTGGTCCGACGTCAACAATCAAAACGCCAACCAGCCTACTCGACGACAGGCTCAGCGAAGCACCCGAGTTCGAATCCCAGCATGAGCGCCAGAGATGTAGCCCCCAGCTCAGCACTGAGGGGATGAACTCTTTTGCCTTCTTGGATCCATCGAGATCTTTAGTACTTGGCCATTATAATGAGTTTGAACAGCAGAAGGTGCAATGAAAGGTATGGAATTGTAGCAGGACACGTGTGTCCAAGTCTATTATTATGAGTGGTGTTGTTTGTTTTCTATTCATCCGCATCCTGCCTAAAGGCATCGTGCTCCACATAGCGGCTGATAGCAGGCAAGAAAGCCTGCGCCTGGCGGAACTCGCCCAACTTCACCCTCATCTGATCCCACGCCATCAACACCGCCTGATCAGCACCATCATCCGTCTTGCGGTCCTCGACGAGCGGCAGCTTAGCATACCGCTGCGAAAAGTGCGTCAGCAGCACGCGGCGCGCGCCCATGTTGCTCGCCACCTTCAAAGCCTCGCCCAGCGTGCTGTGCTTCTTGGCCACGGCGTCGCCCATCTTGTCATTGTCAAAGGTGCTCTCGTGGATCAGCAGCGTCGCGCCCTTGCCGGCCTCAACGAGCCTCTCACTGGGGCGGCAGTCGCCCGAGTAGGCGATCTTGAGGCCCGACGGCCAGGTCAGCACGCCGGCGTAGGCATCCTTGCAGTGGTTTACGGGGACCAGCTGAGCAGAGGCAAGGCGCGTAGGACAGTCGGTGGGGAGGCGCCCCTCGTCGTGGGGGAAGAAGTGGCCCTTTCGGATGAGCTTGACGCGTCCGAAGGCGATGGGCTCGATGCGGCTGTACTCCATCAGGAAATACTGCATGGCGGCGGGGCCGATGAGGCCGAGTTGAGGCTGGGGGGAGAGGTGGATGGTCGCTTCGTTCCAGGCGCGAAGGAAGCGTGCGGTTCCGAGGTGGTGGTCGGCGTGCATGTGGCTGATGAATATGCAGCGTGTCTCTTGAAGAATCTTGTTTGTTTCTTCGGCTCCGAACGTTCGTTGGAGCTGACCCAGGGTGTTCTCACCGCAGTCGAAGAGGTAGTTGCCGTACTGTGGTACCCGGACTAGGGTTGCCGAGACGTTGCGGTACTTTGATGGCACGGCAGATCCGGTGCCGAGAGGGATGATCTCCGTGTCGCGATTCGGGATGTCGTTTTCCGCTTCCTCAATATCCTTGAGGAAGGCAGGCTCCTTGATCTTGTCTGCGGCTTCCTTGGCGAGTTTGATGACTCCCTCTTCCATTCCGTTGCCCTTAAACTTATTGTAGATTGGGGGAACAATCTCATCCTTGACGAGCTCATAGGCTGGCGACAGCTTCGCCTTCATGCCCACACGAGCAGTCTCCACGTTGGAGCCAATATGCGAAAGGTCCCGGACGGTGTTGTCGAAGGCAAGTTGCGGGAAGCGGTCAGGGTCGATCTGCCTCAGGTAGCCGTGGAGGATGGCATAGGAATCCAGCGCCAACATGTTGGGACTGGTATCGGTAGACATGACGAGATGCTGGACATCCGGTCGTTCCCTCATGAACTGTTGGATTCTCGGGTCGTCGATGACGGTCGGCCCAAGGATCCAGTTGAAGACGTGTACGCCATCCATCAAGTTTGCATTTTGCCACTCTGGTCTGCCAAGGAACGAGTCAATGTAGGATGCGTCTGCGATATCAATGACTGTAAAGCCCTGAGGCTTGATCGGCGCCTCGAGAACCATCTCAGGCGTGACGGTAATACCATCCTTGCCCTGGACAGACACTCCGTCGGTGAGTTTCTTATTGTCAGTGGGCTTAACACCCAACTCCTTCGCGGCAGCTGCATTGAACTTGCCTCTTCGGCCCTTGTTCTTTACGATATAGGTGACGGCAGTGTTTGAGATGGAGGCGCTGGGCAACTTCTCAACCGTGGCCGCCGGCCAAGGGTACCGCACCAGAACGTCAAGGTCAGGCACGGGTTCGTCGCCGCCCGGCATGGGACCTTGGTACTTCTTGATGTTGCCGTCTTCTCTGACGAAGATGGTGGCGGGAAGCTGGACCTGCGAAAGTTTCGTCTCGTACAGCTTGTCCATGGTCCAGCTGGAGTTGAACATGCTCTCAACAACACCCTTGATCGCTTCCCGGTCAATGACGGCCTGCTCCTTGGCGGAAACAGCACCGGCTGGGTTCGCCAGGCCTTCATCTTCCGCCGTCATGACCTCGTGGCTTCTCTTACGGGACTGGTTGACATGATCGGAGGCGATGGGTACCTTCCACACCTGAATGAGCTCGTCCTGCCAGTCAGGAGTGGTGGCGTCGGGGTTGGCGATTCTCGGATCCTCGTACAGTTCGACGGCGCGAATCGGAAGTCCCTTTCTGAACACGAACCCTCTCGCTGTTGCGACAGAGTATGCGAGGTTCTGGGCACCGTGAATCTCAATCCGCTCGGGACCCTTGGCCGCGATCAATTTCTTTCCCGTGCCCTTCCTCGCCTGGTTCCTCTCGTGCACCTCTCTCCTGCTACCGTCGAGAACGTCCGCGACTGTAAGCATCATGCCAATCATGCCGCCAGTGTTCTGCTGGATAGTTGCGCCCGAGATAAACATGACCTCCAGCTTGCCCAAGCTCACTTTACGTTGGCTCAGCGCTCGCTGTGTTCCTTCCGCAATATTGCCGAAGAGGTAGCGGCGCTGATCAAAGTGCAGCATCAGGGCCGGGCCCGTGTCCGCCGTCGGCGTCGCCGCGATCTGGAAGTAGTTCGTCATGGCGGCGCGGATGTCTTTCTTCTCTCCGGCCGGCGGTAACTTTGTATAGTGTGTCTGTTCCGTCTCTGGCCCCTGAATCAAGTCGGCACAGTAGATCCAAGAGTCTGGGATATTCGCCGAGACCTTGTTCCAATTGGCCGGTATGCAGAAAACCCGCTTGTTGGGGAACGATTCTGGATCACCACGGACAACGTCTCTCCTAGCGATACCACCGGGATGCTTGTGCCCTACGATTGAGGCCAAGAAATCTGCCGTAGGCAGTGGGCGTGTGCCGCGTTTGTTGGTGTTCAGAGCGTATTTCTGCTGGAAGGGCTCGCGACGTTCTTTATTCCTGCTAAAAGGCTCGTCGTTCCTACGGTAGGGCCGGTCTCTGCGAAAAGGCTTCTCGTCGCGACGAAAGGGTTCGTCTCTGTCGTCCCTGCGGAAAGGCTCGTCTCGGTGGTAGCGTTCCTTATTCCTGCTAAAAGGCTCTTCGTATCGGCGGAAAGGCTTCTCGTCTCTGCGAAAGGACTCGTCTTTGCGGAAGGGTTCTGCGTCTCTGCCAAAGGGCTCGGCGTCTCGTCGAGAAAAAGCGGCGGACGGTGTCCTGGTAGAATTCGGGGTGGCGAGCGGGACGTCCTTATTGTAGGTTCGACGCTTGGCTCCGTTTTCTCTATTGATGAACCCAGTCTTTGCCTGCCGGGTATCGACAATATTCAGCTTGAACTTGGAATCAAACTTGCTGTCGACCCTGTTCTCGAACTTTGACTCAAAGGCGTCGGCCAAGGAATCTACAGGCTTTGGCTTCCTGTTATTGGATCGGCTGTGGTAGGACACTCGAGAGGAGACAGCTAGGAGGAACGGAGATGGCAGGGCTCTGGCTGAACCTTTCCGGGGAAACAGCGAGGTGTATGGGAAACAGTTATTCAATGTTTGCGCCACATGCCTTTGGGTATATGGGCGGTACATGAAGTTGAAGGAGTGTGGGGAGCGCAGAAAAGGCTCACAAAAAGGGCAAAAACGGGCGACGACCAAAAAAATTAACTGGTGGATATCAACACATTGGAGAAGGGGCAGCGTGCAGCTACGGAGAAAAAAAAATGATCGACTTGACTGGCTGGAATTTTGGTGACTGTTGCGGCGACGTGGGACGGGACGGGGAGTGACTACAGTCGGCCAAAAACTTTCCCACAGAAAAGGACCCTTTGCCGATAAGAGCTTATCGGATGCACGTGATTTCTGTCAGATCTGCCTGAGATCTTTGGGGTGATTACATAATGCAACGGGCCATGAACATGGACATCGTGAATCTCGTTCCAATTTGCCCATCTTCTAGGTATTCTAATCCCATAACCATTGACCCCATCGATGATCCCAACACCTTGTGATGACACCAGCCAGTTTCTGTCCGCATCTCTCGCTAGAAAGTCAATCTTGCGAAAGCGACCGTTCTTCGCCAAATAATCCCTTGAACGCCAAGTTCCCTTACTCTGACCGTTGACCAGCAATTTTGATGAACCCAAGTCTTCTAGTTAACCACTTTTTAATCTCTCCTCACAGGCCGCGAGAATGAGTACTTCTGATACTGCTGATTCCTTCCAAGAACAACCGCCACAACCTCCTCGGCAGACTTATACCGGAAGCCAGCCGCGGCACCTCTATCTCTCGCCCTTGGCGATAATGGTGCCGCCTGAATCGTCGTCGTAGACATGGTGACAACCTGCGCCGCCGTCCGGGGCAGTCATAACGCTTGTGTAGCTTGCCATCCAAGACCCGAAGCACCGCCGCCGCTACGCTTCGCGTTCCCGGCAGTGTGGGTCGTGGTTCGGCTGCTGGCGGGGCCGAGTGGTTGCTGCATGTACCCCAACTCGGCCTGCTCTGCTGTGGTAGTGGAGAGTGTGGTGCTGCTCCGCTGCGGAAACTGGCTTCGGACTGTAGCGGCGCCGGGTAGGGTTGCGACGCCTCCGAGGAGGAGGAGGGCTGATGACGAGGAGCGGATTGCGCTCATGATGTGATGAAGTGGAGTTCTTGGCGGTTGACTTTGTTTTTCAAGATGTGTTTTTTTCTTTCTTTCTTCCCTTGAGGGATGGCTCTTTCGAGATCAAAAGGGGGTTCTTTTCTTAGCTTTTTAGCTATGGAGGTTGAACGAGGGCGTCTTGTCGACATATACCTTATATACCGCTCGTTTTGGCCAAGGTACCTACATCTGCACGCACGCTCGGATTGTTGAGGCCGCACATACCTGCTCCCCACGCAAATCAGAGTAGACGTGGGAGAGAGTAGCGTTCCATTCCTGCAAAGGCGTGGCCAAACACCCGGAGACATTCCATCGACCGCCGCGGTGCGTCCTTGCATGCGAAACAGAGCCAATGCCCGCTGCGGAGGAGGGCCGCCATGCCACGCGCCCAATTGACGGGAATGGCGGGGGAAGCAGTAATCAATTACATACAAGGGACCTCGTGGAAGAGCACGGTGAGTACGTAGTGACGGGGTTGGAAATACCTGAGTGTGTGTGCTGAGGCGGCTTTCCGTCCCCCCACGGAGCTTCTCCTGTTGGTTGATCATCCATACCAAAGGTTGGTGACCAATGCCTTCTGGAGAGGAATCACTTGTCTCCAATCCCCTCGTCTCTACGTTCCTCTGCCCCTCAACGCGAAATTCAATGGAAACTTATGCACTCATCTGCATATGGGCTTTTACCAAACCCATCGAATCCGTGTCTCGAGCTAAGCGTCTCGCATCCCATCGCTTGGCATCTCCCGTGCTACCGCCCCCGCGCTCGGCCGTTGAGACACTTTCATCTCAGAGCAGATGCGCACGCGTGCTACAACCAGCCCTCAACAACATAAAAAGCCCAGGGCAGCATACACAGCCTGTGTGCTCCAGAGATAAGAAGGAGAGACAAGCACACAGCCAAAGAGCCCTGATCCAAACTCAGAATCAGGTGCTTTGAAATTCCTCAAGGTCAGAGTTGATGATTCGCCAATCGATCAAAAACATGAGAGAGAGACTGTGGTGTTTTTGCATTCTCTGACCTCAAGACATCGCGCCATGTCTAGTTCGCCTACATATATTTTAAATATTCAGCTAGGTAATCATGTCTCCTCTTCCTGAAAAGCATGTGTTCCATTGGAAAGGTTCCTCGTGAAAGGAAGTATCTGCACCTGAGGTGCCTGACAGCTGACAAAGAAGCTTATCTTGATAACTCTATCTTATCAACCAGGCACTTGGACCTCCTCCACACGCTCCAAGGCAAGTCTTTCTTCTCTCTCCACATGCAAGCACCCATCACCCAAGACCCAAGACCCAAGACCCTTCCGAGTTCCGATTTCCATCCCCCGACACGCTTCCGGCCCAGCGGACGGAACGATAACTAATTACCAATAGCCAATTTGTCAATCGCCATGTGGAAAACGAACCGGAAGCCGTCAAGGGACCTACTAGGTGTAGATATATTTCCAAATACCTTGGTATGAGCCAGTCAAATTCATCACCGGGTAATGCATCAAGCGACCCCAACCACCAAGTCAATTGCATCATCAGGGGACAAGGACCACACCCCGATCCCTGCACGTTACCCCTCCAAATGCCCCTCGTTGGTGACAACTCGACAAGGTGAACTTTTGGTGTGAACCTCCACGTCACCCCACTACCGTTACCCTCCCCCTCGGCATCTACTCCACCATCCGAGAACTGGAAGGGGGGGTCCGGCTCAGGGTAGGTATCGGGTGCCTTACGGCAAGGTCAGGTAAGCTGGCAAAGCAAGCATCCGTAAGCAACATGCCGCAAGTTTGAGCGAGTAAAGTAGACCAGAAAGAAAGGGGAGACCAAACCCAAAGCTTCCACGTCCATATCATTACCCCCCCGTCGAGCAAGTGAAAAGTGGATTCCCGCATCCCGCAATCGCAATTCTGGCTTGCGCCCTCCTCCTCCACCCCCGTTCCGTAATCCCGACGATATAAAAACCACTACAACTTCCGCATCCCACAATGTCATCGCGCACCGCCCTCCGCACCCTCCTCCCAGCCATCACCAACAAAACCACGCTCGCGCTCTCAAGGACAGCAGCCTCCAGAACCCTCACAATGACGTCCCAAAACAACAACAAATTCGCCGGCGGCACCCAAGCAACCCACAACCCCCACCCGGACTTCAAATCCGTAGAATCCACCCGCCCGCCCTTCAACACCGAAGCCTCCATCACCTTCACAAAAACAATCTCCCCAGACTGGTCCTTCGGCTCCGGCGCGAACCCCCTAGGCCAGCCCGGCCTCTCAACACCACACGTAGCAATCGATCCCCACGCCCAAGGCCGCCCGGCAGGCTTCAACTACAAACTCCTCATCTCCGCCATCACCCCGCGCCCCATCGCCTTCCTCTCCACCCGCTCCGCAGACGGCACCGTGACGAACCTAGCGCCGTTCAGCTACTTCAACATGGTGAACCACGATCCGCCAATGTTCGTCGTGGGCTTCGCCGCGTCCATCGAGAAACCCAAAGATTCGCTAAAGTGCCTGCTCGAGAGCAAAGAGTGCGTCATCAACATCATCTCCGAGGGCTTTCTCGAGGCCGCCAACTCGACGTCCGTCAATGCGCCGTACGGGAAGTCGGAGTGGGATGTGAGTGGGTTGACCCCCGTGTACGACTGCAAGCACGTTCGGGCCGCGCGTGTGAAGGAGGCCGTCTTCAGCGTCGAGGGGAAGCTCGACTTTGTGAAAGAGTGGGATTCGCGCGCTACCCCGGGCAAGAAGAGCGGTGTGACTGCGTTTATTGAGGGCGTCAACTTTTGGGTGAGGGAGGATGCTATCAATGAGCAGAAGAACATTGTCGATCCTACTGTAAGTCTTTGTCCATCTTTAACCTTGGAGGAACCCCCAGCTCTTCTGGGTGGGTTTCGTGGAAAACTGGAATCTAACTTGATATCCCGCAGGTACTCCGCCCTGTCAGCAGGTTAGGAGGCATCACCTACGGCCGCACCACCGAGGTCTTGGAGATCCCGAGAGCCGACTGGGATGGCAACATTGGTGGCGAGGAAGGCTATGAGAAGCTCAAGAAGAGTAAGCAATAGAGACTCAACGGAGTGTCATTCAAGAACCAAGACGCACAGTTGTTTATCCAGGTAAAAGTGGCGTCAGAGAGAATCAACAACAATACAATGCGCATGCGCCCCCGAGATGTAATACATAGAAATTAGGTGGCATCCAAACAAAACGCGGCGGCCCGTCATCATCACGGCCACCGATGGATATATAGAATGCGACAAATGGTGCGCGTAAATACATGGTATATATATCCCCTTGCCTCCTCTTATCTGCCCATGAAAACTCCAAGATAATCCCCCCACTGCACTCATCCTCATCATGAGAAATTCATGCAAATCATATCTTCGTGGAATCAACATCTAGAACACCCTGCGCCCAAACGCCACCCACAATATTTCAAAGGTAGAGACTCTGCCCCGCGTGGGAGACAATAAACTCGCAGCCCAGCTGGGCGTCGGCTTCGTAGGCCTCGAGTTCTTGCAAAATAAGTTTTCCTTGGTCCCTTCCATCTGGGCGGTCCTTTACGTGGATAATGACAACTTTGATACCCTTGAGAGGTGGGCCCTTGGAGTGCCCATCCTCCGTCTCGCTCCATCCTTCAGCCTCGCGCAAAGACAATTCCTGTGTAGGAGTCGTCAGATGTGGGCTCTCTACCGATGTAGCAGCGGGCGGCAGTGGCGGTACGTGGCCAATGTCTGCAGACACAGCACGCTTGGCCACTGATTTGGGGCTGATTGGGGACTCATCGCCGCCGGCAAGGCGCGAAAAGGCGCCTCCTGTCCTTCGTCGTGGGATCGTGTCGGGTTCTGCTACACGTTTCCGCTTCCGGGAGGCATGGGCATCTCCTCGCGCCTCCTCAACAGTCTGAGCCAATGCGTGCATCTCTTCCATCACATAGCGGGGTTTTAGATGACCAAATAAGCGATCATCAGAGTGCGAGTCGTCGTATGAACATTCGATGAAAATGGCAGCAAGTTGGCCAGCTACAATCTTTGGAGCAGCTTCTTCCCAAATAGTCAAGTTTCGAGGGGAGAGTGACATAGAATCCGGCTCGACGTCTCCAAAGATGAGTATCTCTAGGTTAGTAGCCATATCGAGGATAAAGTAAGCCGAGGAGTCGTAAACGCATACACTGGCCTGCGGCTCCGGCGCAACCGATGGTGCTCGAGGGATAGGCGCGGTGCTCGAGGCTAGGCCGTATGGCAGTATGCGCGGTGACGCCATGGATGCGGCATCGACAGAAGGATATCGTAGAGGTGTTGCAGTGGAGGAGGTCGAGCCGCGATGTGGGTGTCGCTCAATGCAGTGACCGTGTGAAACAGAATACGCCTTGATAGCGAGGCGATCCGCAACCTCTAGATATCCTTTAGACTCGCCATCGCCAATGGCTGGCGACCCTCCTTCTACTAGCCGGGTATACGTGACTAAGCCTGCACCGTTACTTTCGTCGGACAAGTTGGGCCAAATAACATTGTTGAAGATGTGAGTTTTGAGAGCGTTAACCGTTGAGGGCAATGCGGCAAGGCGCTTGGGCCTGGTAAGACCTGCCGTGTTCACGACGAAGCCGGAGATGTGATCGAGATGAGGATGAGTAATCACATACGTGTCGATAAGAGTACGAGTGATGAATGAGGCGATGGACGATGGATACACTGCGCCTGTTGCGACCTCCAGCTGACTGTTTGGTGTAAGCTGCAGGCCTGCAAATGGCCCGGAGGCAAGGGTGTGGGGGAGCGGAAGCTGGGTGCCGAGGCCTGGAGGTGCCGCTTCCTCAAGAATGCGAGTAATAGCCGAAAGATGAACACCGGCATCTACGGCGATGATGGAGCCTTTTGTCCACCCCGAGGCGACTGAGCGAACTAGAAGAGCGGTAGTATTGGATTCCTGGGGACCGCCGCCGGCACCCTAGAAATTTGGGTTAGCGGAGGTGCGGACATGATGGGGCCACTCTTTGAGGGGATCCTGGCTAAGAAGCGATAGGTCACTCCCGTCGCATTGAAAGATGTGTCTATCTTCAGTCGCTTGCGCAAAGTGTTGAAGAAGAAAACTGCCGGCTCTCCCTCGTCCAATGCTGTTGCACTTGCAAAGATTCCAGGGGTTGAAGTGCTTGCAGCATGGATTTCCCATTCGGTGCGGTTGGTGCAACCCGAAGAAGTCGACTGCATGAACGACAAGAGGATATGCGCCGGGCGGCCGGGTCGGGATGATCTCGTGGGGGGACTTTTCCTCACTTCAGGAGAGACACACTCGAGACGTCGGGGCCCAACAAGCCTCGGGGATGTGAAAGAGAACCCGCGCGATCTGCGACGTCGAAAGTCGGCAGTGAGGCGCATCAAAAAACGTGAGATGTGAGAGTGGAACGTACCAGGACAATGACCTGCAAGGCCGGCCGACGGAAATTCTCCGACTTCTCCCCATTTGTGTCTTCCATGGCGGGCTAGCTGTTGATGCGGAACGAGAGAATAAGTCGCGAAGAGGGTTGATAGAATTAGAATTCCTTCCAATGCCGAGAGCGCAGCCAATGCCGCCTCTACGAAGCCACCACCCCGCCTAGACGGGCTGCCAATGCCACGATGAGGTAATGGGGCCTGTGGTAGACAAGACGGAACGGCACGGCAGATGAGAATTGGCATGCGACGCAGTGATGGTCTTCGTTCTGGGTTGGTGGAGAAGATGCGATCAGTCGTAGTGTACAGAGACGCGCGCTCCGGTGGGATTTGATGGTTGGTTTGCAGGGGCTGACAGATCTGGAATCTGCAATGTGAGTGAGATCGTCGGTGAGCGCGGGGTGAGGGTGTCGTCGGTGAGTGGTTGGTTTGGCGTCTTTACAGACAAGGTAGGTCGGCAATAAGAGGTCAGTAGGTACTCGGTAGGCTTGGCGGATTGGATGCTGATGTGCGTGGAGACGCAATGACGGGCGTAAGGTTGCCGGGAGACGAAGTATGTAAGAAGGTTGAAAGAAAGAATAAGTTAGACGATGGACGGGAGAAAGACACAGTTTTGCGATCTTGATGGAGGGAGGTCGGAACGAAACAGGGCTGGGGCTCTCGTCAGGCCTGATGTTTGCGCCTACCACCCCCTTTGCGGTTTCTGGATCTTGTCTCTTTCAAAGATCCCTTCTTGACAGTCTTTTCCCCACAGCCAAGCCAGAGAGGGAAAGAGAAAAGGCGAAGCGGATGGATCTCGAGATGAGATGGACGGCTTCTCCGAAGGCCGACGTCGTGGCTACCGGGATAGGTGGGTTTGAGTGGTGACCCAGCCAGCGGTGCTTCTGTACGGTATTAATTGGAGAGTGGAGAGCTCCTGGGAGCTGGAGTTGGAGCTGGAGCTGGAGCAACTGGCCGGGTCTTGTCTTTGGCGGGCGCGGTGCGGGCGTGTGGAATCGGTGCGGATGGCAGCGGTCGAGCGTTGTTTAAGTCCGATAGCCAGGGTGGTTTTTTAAATGGGTTTGTTGCTTTGGAATTGTTCAGGATCGAATAGATGGGAGACGGAGAGAGTCCAGACCAGTTGCTTTGACGTGACGACAGAAGAGCAAGGCAACGCGGGTGCGCGGTGCAGTTGAGTTGCAGCTGCGAATGCGATGCAATGTGTGTGAGAGTGAGCGTAAGCGACCTCGGTCGGGTGCAGCTGCTGTGCAGTACGCAGTAAGGTAAGGTATTATGCGACGTGCAGTGACAACGAGGAACGTGGATGGGCCAGGGACTCAAGAGGAGTCAAGGGGGATGCTGTGTTGGGTGGTGGGATGGATGCCCAGGTGGAGGGATTCGGGGATGGATGGAGGGATGACTTTTGGAGGTGGCCTGCTAAGGTAAAAAAAAAATAAAAAAAAAAAAAAAAAAAAAGGCGTGCAGGAAGCGTAGAGTGGCCACCAAATGTTTGCGACAGCGATTTCTTCTCTCCCACAGACAGAAGGAGGATTTGCGCTTGCTGAGTGTGGTCGGAATGCGCGGGAAATGATACCACAAACACCACTTCAATAACGAGTTTTTGCAAGTACCGATCCTGAGACGTGATGACAGAACAGAGCAGAGCAGCAGCAGCTCTTACTTTCTACTTCTGCCTCCTGCCTCCTGCAAGTCAACCCTGGTGAGCCGCTCCTGCTTACTGGCAAGGACCGGAACTCTGTTGCGGCAACAACCCTCGTGTGCCACTGCTCGCACCTGCAGCTTTAGGTCCGATAGGTCGGGTAAAGGTAGGTGCTCACTTGGCTCGTGCACTACGATCGTGCTGCTCTTGCTGCTTGTTGTCTGTTTTCTCTCCCTCAAGGTACCCAAACCCTCTCCCAGCATGGAATCAACAGTCAGAAAGAGGAAAGCACAATGACAGACCCCCTGGTTGTGACTTCCCGAAAGATGTAGGGTCGAATGTCGGGCCAATCTGTGGCAAGGTATCTGTAAATGGGCGGAACCTTCCAGTTGTAAATCTCCAACGCGTAATTGCCTAAAGGCCACAGGTTGAGGTGCCGTAACGTGTAAGGCAGGTAGGTTCGTTCCTTTGATGGTTTCCCCAGTCCGTGAGGTGCCTTCCAATCTTAACAACAGGTGCAACTCGTTGCGCAACGTGACAAGCACCTTCCACGCAAACTCTCAACTCTGCGCAACGTGGTGTCGACGTGTCGTAGCCTTTTTTTTTTGGTGTCGTCGCATCAATTCTCGCTCGTTGTTCTTCCAAATTCAATCTTGCTCTTCGGTTGCACATCTGCCTCTTACTGTCTTGGAGCCTCTCGTCACCGCAAACTCAATTGCAGCCAATGTGCTCCCTAGGCTATTTTCGTGTCGACAACGCCCTCTTCGGCCAATACTGCCAAATCAAATCCTGTTTCGGCTTTCGTGCTTGTCGAATGTCGGCAAGGTCCCGTCCAAGACGCTGTCGAAGATCACCCGATGCCCTCCCTTCGGGGCTAAGCTTCAGCCCAGTGTTCCAGCTCTGTGCCGTCTGATGTCCGATCGCCGACTGCTCGCGGGGATGAGCGGGCTTCGATGCCGCACCAAGACAATCCCAAGTTGCCCCTCGAAGCTCGATAATGGGATGAAGCGAATCAGGCACTCTGAACCCTCTTCCCGACGGCAACCACCGCCGTGCTTCCCGTAGCACGTATCTGGGATCCTAATGCGATGAATCGTGACTGGCTTTTGCCTTTTGTCGCAAACTGTCAAAGCCAAAGAACAAAAATGGAACGATGGAAGAAGAGGGGGAAACAAGGTAACAAGTCAGTCAAGATTTACTTTGGTCGTTGTCTGAGTCAAAACCACCACATCGAATTCGTCGAGAACAATACTCCAAGCCGACTGGCTTGCTATTTCGCAAGGATGGGCTGGCTATTCTAATCAGCCATGACTGTGACTGCAAGAAACTCGCCTCTCTATTTGTACTTTCACATGAGCTCAACACCCTCACATTATCTCATCCCGAACATTGACTGACATACCTTACACACCACAGATAGACACCTCTTTCAGCCGCCGGGCTCCCGCCCCCGCCCCCGCCAACGCGCACGCAGTGTTTTGCCCTCCTCTGGCCCTCCGAGCCCTGCCTTACATCTAGAGGAGCACGAGATCCATAAGCCATTCAATAGGAATCGATCCAGCGGCTCTGTCGAGACGATACGACTCCGTACCATCTTACTTGCACGGCGCCCTCCTGCATCGTAGCATCTCCGTTTGGGACTAGCGCCCCTACTCCCCTCGGCCTCGCCGCGCTTTCGCACGCCAACGTTTCTTACCTGCGGGCCGCGAGAGCTACGATTCATTCGCACCAACGCCGCGGCCCGCTTTCACCTTCGCCGACCTGCCCTTTCTTCATCTGTCCTCCTCGAGTCTGTTCAGCTTCTGCCCGTCTATGGCTACCGGGATACTTTGTACAGACCACGGCGTTGCCAATTCGCTGCCCAAGTCTCCATCATCCACGCAAAATGGCCTTCACACCATGTCACCGCTTCCGGTCATCCCCAGTTCATTCTGCGGCCCCTCCATCCCGCTTCTCTTAATCGAAACTCTGTTATGTTGAGGGCTCCGCAGCTAAAGTGCCCCGAGCCATGGCTCCTGAACCAAAACCTCATCCGGCTCTTTTGGCGCCCGCTTCCTAGCACCTGTGAACAGCACTTGTCCGAACTTTCCCATCTTTCTGGGGTCAATTCGAGGCCCTTTAGCGCGGGCGTGTGCTCTCGGCCGCAGCCTGCCGTCCGGCCGTTTGGAACCGTCGCATGGCGGCCGCACCGGCCCCAGCTCCAGGACCCTTGGCAAGAGCCTGGATTGTGAGTCAGGATTCACGCTTGTCACTTGGGAAATGCACTCAAGTCTTGGGTTAGAGATCTGTTATTAATCATGTTGATACTAGGTTGGTCTGTATCGCTGATTCGTTAAGGCCTCAGACCAGGCCTTTTATCCGCTTCTCCTCCCCGCCCTCTTGGGTGCATCTATATCTAATATGGGGTATCAATCCTATGCTAACCGCAGTCGTGTGAAGAAACCCCCTTGCTCCGGTCCAGAAAACAAACATCCCAATGTGGCCACAAATTACAAAGACTTTTTGGAGGCGCATGGTCATTCACCTCAGGGTAAGATAAACAAAGGCATCAATCATCAATGTCTTTCAACGGGTGAATAGCACGACCGTTTCACACGTTTGTTCCAAGTAGCGGCTGTCTGGGGCTGAGAGGCGTTGTTATTGTCGTCATACTCGTATACTTCGCGCTTTCTCTTCTCGATGATACTCGGACGGGCCGCCCTGGTCGCGGGAGTCTTTTGGCCACCTTCATCGTCGTCGCTGTCAAGCTCCTCGACGATGGAGTGCCCCTTTTTGGATACCTTTTTCTCGTTGACTCTCTCCACGTACCAGTCGAGATCGCCCTTGTGCTTGTCAATAGAAATGCCGTTTCTCTTCTTCCGCATGTTGCTCCGCACCGGAGTCTCCAGCGCCAGGTGCTTGGTCGTCAGCACATACCATAGCTTGGCTTCTCGGCCGACCTGGCGGTTCTGAACGGGGAGGCCCATCATCTTGTTCGTCTCTGCCGACCTTTGCCATTCTTCGTAGGCAGCCTGCTGGGACGTGCGCCACTCTTCGAACTCCATCACCAGCTCGTCGTGATCACGGGTCATGGCCATGGGGTTGCGTTCTTCCTTTTCAAAGTAGCGTGTATCGGGCTTCAGGTCGAATGCTTGGGCAATCTCGAGGAGATCGAAGCAGCGATCCATGCACCACAAGTGCATGTAGCCCGCGTTGTGGTACGGATCATGCTGCTTCCCCGAGGTTTCGGGCCGCTCGTCGAAGCAGACGCGCCAGAAGCCTTTGAGGATGGTACCCTTGTAAGCCGGGCAGCCTGACCAGCGGCACGCGCGTAGTCTGTCGTCGCCCACGCGCGTCTTACAACCGTGGGGGACGTTTTGGATCCAGAGGGTGAGGGGTAGACCTTGCTGCTTCCGCTCTCTGATGTAGTACAGGATCTGCTCACGGGTGAAGCGCAGATTCGGCAGCAGCTCGCCCTCCTTGTTGTATTGGAACATGGGCTTTGTGTGGTCGTGGCCACCCCAGGCCGTGGGCGCTTCGGGGAGAGAGTCATACCAGTCTGATACGTCCACGTCCTTGGCCTTGGCGGGCTTGGGAATACGCTTGAGGATCTTCCCATTCACGACGGGGGTTGTGAGGTCTCTGGATGGAGTGTGAGCTGGAGTCAGGTATGACGGGGGGTTGGGAATGCCGGCTTCAAAGAGGCCCTCTCTGTTGAGGATACTGTAGGGAAGCACGTCTGTCGGTGCGGTTGACAGACTGTGGCGATGGATGAAGTCGGCAGGAAAGGGGGGTGATCTGGGCTTGGGGTGCACCAGTCTCGCTGTGGCGACGGCGGCGGGAGTGGAAGTGGTAGCAGGCACACTGCGCGGGATGGACTGCGGAGTGGTCAGAGGGGTGAACAGTGGAAGGGAATAAAGGAAGTTTACCGATTCGTCGTCGTAGTTGCAAGAGACTTGACCGGCGGCTGAAACTTGTGCCAAATCAGGGACCAAGGGAGCGAACCCGGGCTTTGGGGTCAGATGGTGTTGAGATTGCGGCGGTGGAGGGGCGGTAAAGACGTCGGTAGTGGTCTTTGGTGAAGGGTGAAAGAAAGCCGCCGAGGAGGCGGGCTCCCGTTTGACATTGCTGAAGGCGAAGCCGTCAAAGTTGGGGGCTTCTTGCTTGACGTTGGCAGGGCTGTAGGATTCGAGGCCGTCATAGGTGACCGTTTCCCTCTTGGAGTCGTCGAAATCAAAGGTATCGAGGTCAAAGACTTCGCGGGCGTCTCCGAGCACAGAAGACGGGTGGTCACCGCACGGTTGTTGGTAGGCAAACATGTCGCGGGGAGGAGGGGAGGCAAAGAGATCTTCACCACCACCGCCGCCGCCACTGCCAAGCCCCGCAGCCGAGTTGTTGTTCAGGTCCCATGCCGTGTCACCACTGGACTCGAGGCCGTCGAAACAGGGCCAGGGAACGCTCGGCGGGGGAGAGGGCCACGATGTGCCGACGCAGGGTACTGCTCCTGGGGCCGGAGTCGGGGCCGCCGTGGGGAGTTGGAGGGCTTCGGCGATGGGACCTTCGAATTCCTCGAAGAGGGCCTGGAGCTTCGGGTCGTCGACGAAGGGCGTAGGCTCTTGCCTCAAGTCTTGTTGGAAGTCCTGCTGAAACTCTGGCTTGAATTCCTGTTTCAATTCTGTCGGCTCTATGCTCGGTAGCACAAGAGCTGTGGCGTCTGTGGTGGGAGGTGTTAGTTGGCGCTGCTCCTGCTTGAGTGGCGGTGGTGTTCCTGGCAATGTGATGAAGAGGACGTTGGGATTGATTGTCGCGACCTGCGCGGGCTTGCCCTCTTCTTGCTCGTACTTAAGTAGGGAACCATCATTAGAGTTGCCATTACCTCCGAAAAGCGAGCCGTCAGAGATTTGGCTCTCGGAGAGCTGTGATATCAAGGCCTCCTCGATGGCGGCCTCTGGGTTTTGCGCAGTCTCCTCCTCGACTTCAGGGACCGGCCCTTCAACGCAAGCGTCATCAAAGTTGAAAAAGGAGTCTGCGTCACCGTAGGAGTCGCTGCCGTAGTTGAAAAGGGTTCCCGGGAGCTGGTCTGGGCTGAACGTGTCCATCACCGGGGTGGACAGTATCATGGCCATTATGTCTCTGAAATTGTTGTTGTAGCTTGACGAATGGAAGTCTGTGGTGCTGTTCGTCCCTTTCTGCTTGACTTTTGCTGCTATCCTCTTCGAAGATGAAATGAGAATCCAAGTGGTTCCTGTAGTTGAATAGTCTGTACTTGAACAACCCGTGGTCGAACTTGTCTGTAGTTAAAGGTGAGTATATACGACGCAAATGTGAAAACGAATCGAATGTCTAGATAGGTAGTCCGAGGTCGGGAAGAGTAAGGATGCTGTGGAGGGTGGGCGCACAACACGATATATAGGCATAAATGTGGTAGTCATCCCTTCCACAGTGGCAGAGCAGCCTCGAGGTCAATGAAGAAGGACGTGCATAAAGAGACTCGGTGATGGACAACGGGGACGCGGGGAGGTGGCATTGTTCGATGTGTTTGAAGATTGTCTGGCTGACAAAGGTTGGTATTGCTATTATAGATACTTGATTGGTATGGATAAAGTGCGAAAAGAAGAAAAATTACGAGAACAAGACGCTGGCGGAAATAGACAAGAGGCTTAGCCTTGGGAGAACAAGAGATGGGCAACAAGAGATGGGCTCCTCTTGTTCTTCAACAATGGCCTTCTTAGACTCGAGCTGGGCCAATCCAGCTTGTTGCTATGCAAAGATGTTCCTATCTGAGTTTTCGTCAGCGACTGAAGCATAATCAAGATGCTAGAGAAATGATTTGGTGATGATTTGATATCAGGAGTAAAATGCTCGTTTCTCGACAGTAAATTCCGAACAGGTCTGTGAATAAATGCTTTTCTCATCATTTGATGGGTGTGAGGGTGAAAATGAAGTAAATGTTTGACATACCACTTGACTAGGTTCGACGAATCATGAGACGGATCACCTCAGGTTTGCATGTCTGGGTTAGCTAGGCGCAGCGAGACTGGGAGCGTGCCGTCAACTTCTGATAGCCCAGAGTCCCAAGCCTCGTGCGTCCCGTGTCGCATATGGAGCAATCGACACCACCAGATGCAACTTCGAAAGGCCTGTCCTTGATCGAGGAGTTTCGGCCGTATCCGCGCCGGGGAATGAACCCGTGGTGGTGCGAGGTCGATGACCCTCGACGGCGGGCGGTAAACGACAATCAAAGGCGCCTTTCGCCTGACCATTCGTCATACCATGCCGTACGGTAAAGGAAGTGCCAGGGGATGAAAGAGCATCTCGGTCCCTGAATGGAGATGATGTCTACCGCCTCACGTTTCGAGGTAGGTGTGACTGCGATCCCATGCTCGCAAATGAGCGTGACACCACCGGCTAGAAGCCGATTGCTGCGTGCGCTGGGTATTTCATCATGATGCGATCCTGGACTCCCAGCGTCAAGGACGGCAAGCAAATGATGGAAAGGTAGATAGAAAAATTTATTTGATGGATAAATAAGCGTCGAGGACGTTGGCCAAAAAAGGTCGGCGACGAATGAGAGGGCCCCGCAGCCCTGTTTTGGTCCGTGCGTTCTTGACGCCGTTGGGAGGAAAGAACGAACCCCTGCTCCTACCTCAGGGTGTTTTTGACACTATTCCATTCTGGGAAGAGCACCTACGCTCGATCGGGGTACTTGGACGAGCCATCGATTTCCCTCAAGGAACATCGAGT